TTATACATAAGACATATAATTCATTTGAAATATCCACATCTGCTAAGTGGATTTTGCTATTATGGGAGCAAAATGTTAGAGGCTCGCTCAAACTTTTTGGCTCTATAAAAGACACAAGAATTTGGAGTGAATAGCTTATATATCGTAAAGAATATACTGGTACATGAAGAATTTTCCTTATTAATAATGTTATTACGATAATATTACTATTTAGTATTAAATCAATTTTATTATATAAGATTATATAACCATTTTTAATAAATTATAAAGTATATATATGAAAACCTTTATGCTTATAGCTAGTAGTTGGGCTCTACAAAATAGTTAACTTTATATTGTAATTCGTTATTGGTAGTACTGTTGGTAATGCCATTACCTTTCATCTTTATCTTATTATTCATACTTTTTTTTTATGAAAGTTCTCTTTTGCTAACCACTCAATTTGCTATATTTAGTTTTTATAATATCAGAAGTTAAGTGTTAACATGATTTTTTAATAAATATATACACGTAGTAGCAATACTATATACTTTAGTTCAATTCAAACATTAGCTTGGAGCAATTTAGAGTGATGTCATTTCTATGTTAAAATGATGATATAATGATTACACAATCCAAAAGTTAAAGAAAAAATTTCTACAAAAAAAGTATTAATAAGTCAAATTAACAACTAATTTATAAAATATACATGGGCAGTGCAGATAGGTATAGAAAGTAAGGTATATATCTTTATACAAAATTTATAGTGAGTGACCAACTACAATCATCCTAATTTAAGCATAAATAATAATTATTTTAATTATTAATTTGATATGCGTAACTATGAAATAAATCTCAAGCAAAAATAGGAATTGAGATTGTATTATTCTATAAGTAAATAAAAAAAATATTATTAGAGCTCCTCTTTATATTAAATTTAAAAGTAATAATTTAAATTATTAAGTGACAAATATTAGTTCATGTGAGAAAATAAAGTAATTATGGTCTATATACCTATATCGTCAATCAATCAAACATATTAAAATTATGATGACCATAGTCAAAATTATATTGTGAATTCAAGTTAAATATAATTTATAAAAAATAGTACATTAAAGTTAATATCCTTTTAGATTGTCTGAAATTTTTACATATATAAACTATACTGCCTAGGAATAGTGATGTCTACACATAACTATATCCTAATACATATTAATAACAACTTACTCTTTAATATCATCATTAATTGATGTATCTATACATTACACTGAAAACTCAATGAAAATTTAGAAAACTACAAAAAAAACCCTCAAAAGTTGTAAAAATTATAAAAAACACCCTAAAATTTTATAATTTACAAATACACAAAACTATTAAACATTATATTGAAATTAAGGAATTACAAAAAAATATTAATAAATTTCAAACTTTGGAGGTGTAATTTGCAATGTACTAAACTTTAAGGGTGTTTTTTGTAAATTTTAAATTTAGTAGATTTTTAATTAGTTATGTTATTTTTAAAAAGGTTATGGGTAATATTGACCATTAAAAGTCTTCCCTGAACATATACTTTTAAATGGAGTATGAAATTTTTTGTAAGTTTTTAATTTTCTAGGGTTGTTAGTAATTTTGTATATTCATCTTAGTGTCCATAGTTTAGAAATTTCTCTTAGTGTTTTTTTTGTAAATTATAAATTTTAGGGGTTTTTTGTAATTTTTTAAACTTATAGGACTTTTCTATATATTATAAATTATTTATAGACTATTTATAATTCATATGTTTTCAATTTATTAATGAGTTTGAAATTCTTAGGGTGTTGTTTGTAAATTTTAAAATTTGAGTGTTTGTTTGTAATTTTTGAAGCTTTAAGGGTATTTTTTATAAATTATAAATTATGTAGGGGATATTTTTTATTCTTATATTTTCAATATACTGTAAGATTGAAAATTATCAGGATCTTTGTAAATTTTATAATTGTAAGAGTTTTATTTTGCAGTTTGTAAAAAGTTTAGAGTGGTTATTGTAAATTCCATAAATTTTTAGGGGTTGTTTGTGTTATTTATAGGTTTTTAGCGTGTTTATAGGTTTGAAATTTTCAAGGTATTTTTTTTATAAATTTTGATTTTTTGGGTTTTTTTTAAAATCTCAAAACTTGTAAGATATTTTCTTCAAAGTAAAAAAACTTTTAGTTTCTAGCTAGCATTTGGTTTTCAGATTTCTCATTGAATTGAAATGAGTAAAATTTGTAATTTTCAAGATGTTCTAATAAATTTTTGAATTTGTAGAGGTATTTTTAAAATTTAAAAAACTTAGAGGATATTTTTTACAAAGTCTAAAAATTTTAGGTGCTGGCTAGCATATATATTTTAGAATTCTATGCGAACTGAAACAAGTAAAAGATTTGAATTATATAAAACATATCTTCTTTAAATAATAACATGTTAAGTCTCATTAAGAAGAAAATAAATCATATAATTATCAATTCGAAGAAGATATGATAATTAGAATAGATTAGGATAACAATGTAATATTCTAAAAAAAGTTAAGGGTAATATTGACCACGAAAAGATTTTTTCGAACACGTTATTTTAGAATTCTATGCGAACTGAAACAAGTAAAAGATTTGAATTATATAAAACATATCTTCTTTAAATAATAACATGTTAAGTCTCATTAAGAAGAAAATAAATCATATAATTATCAATTCGAAGAAGATATGATAATTAGAATAGATTAGGATAACAATGTAATATTCTAAAAAAAGTTAAGGGTAATATTGACCACGAAAAGATTTTTTCGAACACGTCGGAAAGTCAGATAGCCGGGCCTAATATTCACTAGCCAGTTGAAGCAGCCGATGTCTAAATAAGTCCGGTACTCTCTAGGCCTCTCATCATCTATCAAGCATTCACCATATCGACCGGAGAACTGCGGAAAACAAGTAGAGAATGCCCAACACTTATGGACCTGCAACTGCTGTCTGACATCAGAAAATCCGCGGCCCTCCCACCTGCCATTCTCAAGCAACTGTAGCAGGGGAACAGAATGGTCTGTGGCGTTCGGCACCGACATCATATCCGAGCGATGAAGGACAAACCAGGCCATCAGATAAGCGTACGGGAGCTCCACCTTAAGCGTGGGAATCTGACCTGGTAAATCGGTCTCCTTCCGTGTGAACGCACTGGAAAGCTGTCGAAGTCCTCGGTGAATATTAGCCACCATCACCGGAAGAAGTGAGAGTTCCTTCTTATAGGCGAGCTGAACTGCTGGGTAAAGTACCTCCAAGGGCAAGGCGTCGCCAGACTGATATGGAACCACGCACTTTTTCAACCAGATAGCAAGAAAGCCAGCAAGAAGTGTCATTGGTCGAATTGGTGCGGTAGCGTGCCACAAGAATGACTTGAACTTGGTCTTCGCAGGAAAGCCACCCTCAGGACCGCCGGTGGTGTAAGATTGAGCGCCGATCTTCTTCAGTAGACTGTTCACCTCTGAAGGAGTGAATGGGGCCAGCTCACAAATATCCTCGCCATGAGTGCTCTCCAGATTCTTGAACAAGTAGTTCGCAAATTGTTTCAGACTCACACATACCTTGGTCCTCTTTGCTAAGGGCTCCGACTGTGCCAAAGCAATATGGTAATGACAAGTGAGGTCCCATAGAGTCTCATAACGGTCAGGCATGCGATCTTTTAATTGGCTCAACTCATGACTGGAAGGAAAGTACTCCTGGTATAGCATCTGTCCCATGGACAAGCCAGAAATCCTGTGCATCTCGTGAAGAGCCAAGCCTAACTCCCCCTGCCGGGTCAGAAAAGTGTTCGAGTCTGGATTATATAGCTCGAACAAAGCACAGAAATGTCTCAAACTGACAGGCAAGCCATACACGGTGGCACGAACGGCTGCATACAAACTGCAAGCATGCAACTCCTCGCCCCATCGGCTCAAGACGTATGTCGTCATGCGGCTCCACCAAGACTTGTCCGAAGAGTGGACCCAACCGTAAAACCTGTGACGTGTCGCTGGCATCTCCCGTCCCAGAACAGCGAGACGATTCCTCAAGGTGGAAGCGGTAGCAAGGAACTCGTTACGTGGTGGTTCGTCCAGCCCCAATACACCAGGACGCAATCCGGTAACACGACTTCTGCACGAACCAGGAACCGCCGAATGAGTGATATAGCCGCAATGGACACTCATATGATCCTCTGTCAAGCGCCACGACATCTCCCGTGTCACAGCCTGACATCTGAGCTCAGTCAATGAACGATGCCGAGGAATCTCCGGCAAGTATATGAAGCCATTGCCGGTCTTGTGAAGCCAATGCTCAGCACCAATGAATACGGCTTCTGGGTCATCGACAGAATCACCAAATAGGAAATCGCTCTTTCGAAGAGGCTGAGTAGAGCTGGCGTCCTTCACAAAAGGCGCATCTGTGATTAGCTGGCGAATAGCTCGATGACCACCTTCCCTCACCACTTGGGCAACCTCAGTCGACGTGTCCGAAGCAAACTGAGGGGTAGCTGGAATAGGGGAAGGATCGTTGGAGTTCGAATAATGCTCGCCACGCCGTCCATATATTGCGTGGGACGGGAATGATCCAGAAGGGTACCCCACTGCAAAATAGACAGTTAAACACTGGTTAGTCTCGATTATAAAAGGAAATTGAACTCATCTTACAAATAGCTAAGATAGAGTCATTGCCTTATAAAGGGTGAGACGATTTGGCCACATTGTGCAATCACAAAACAGGGTATGTCGACAACATATCCCTGCCTTATAAAACGCAATGTAGTGTCAAATCGCCCCCTTTAATTTTGAGATATGGTTTTGACCAAGCAAAACATATCTTTGAAGCGTCGATCCTCACCAAGGAGAATCAAGGCTCTTCCCGATTGCCTCGCCAAGGAGAACAACGTGGGGTTTAAAAAAGGGTCAATTTACAAATTTATAAGAAAAAAAAGGGTTTATTTGCAAAAAGTAGCTCACCAGCATAAGAGGGAGGCGCGCCATCAACCGACATGGCAGGGGAACGACCTCTCGAGGCGCGAGACATGACGGCCTGCAAAATAACTCAAAGGGTTAGATTCAAAAAATAATTTCAGCCCTAATTTTTGCATAAAAACCCCTCAAAATTGCATTTTTACCCCCCTGAAAGATTAGCTCGAGGCATCAAATCACACCCTCAAATGCATGAATTAAATTGAGCATGAAAAAGATCCAAATTGTGGAAGATTTACCTGAAGAAAGGCTCGAGATCCAATAAAAAATGTGATCTTTAAGGAAACTTGAACCACGCGCTCGAGGGGCCTGAGAGAAATTCCAAATATGGAGTTTTTGAGTGATTTTTCAGTCCAAGATCCAAAGGAACCCTAGATCTAGGATAACTATCAAGGTTTCAAGGCGAATGGAAGCTTGAGGGAAGAGAAATCAAGAGAGGGGAGGGGAAAGTTCGGCCGGCCCTAGAGAGGAAAAAGAAAAGAAAAAGAAAAGAAAAAAAAGACCCCTCTTATAGCCTTGAACCAGATTGGGCTGAACCAGACCAGACTGGGCTGAACCAGACCTAGCCAGATTGGACCAGGTTGAGCCAGATTGAGCCAAACTGAGCCAGAATGAGCCAAATTGAACCAGATTGAACCTGGCTAGACCAGATCAGATCAGAATGAGCCAGAATGGACCAGAATGAGCCAGAATGGACCAGTTTGAACCAAATCCGAACCAGAATTCAAATTGAAGCAGAATTGAACGTCGAAACAACTTCAAATCGACCGAAGGTTCGATCATTAGTTTATTCTTGCCTCTCCCACATGTTTGGAAGGGTTGGGAGACTTTTTGCACCGAATTACTGCCTTATTTGGCTCATTATTAGGCCGATTCAGCTTATTATCGGACCGGTTCAACTCATTTGGATACGGAAATACTCCAATAAGGTATACGAGTTTAAACTATTCCCTCCTCTTTGTTGAGAAGTTTCTGGAGAATATTTTTCTAAAAATATTCTTAAGGATAACTCAATAACACGACGCCGGACAACGCGTCACAAATGAAGACTCAATGCTAACAACCGAGCGTTAGTTGTACGTCGAACCAATAAGCACGAGCTAAAGACTGGAAAATCAGGAATCGACTTCAAAGTTCAAATTCCAACAACGGTCAGACAATAAATGCAGCACCGGAACCCCTACAGGCATTCTACAAAGCACTGAATGGCCCGAAGGATTGAAGGAATACAGAACAAAAGTCATTTCCAGGTCCCGTTACACCGACAAAGGGTAGGGGCAATCATATCCAAAGCATTCCAGACTCTTCTATAAAAGAACGAGGCTGAAAAGCTTTGGAGGGGGTATCTGTAGGCGTATAAAACTGCTTATAGGTCCCTTGACACAGCTCGGCGCGATGATTCGACAAATCGACGAACGTTCAAGCAACGAAACGAACTAAAGAGGCTACAAAGCTAACGAACTGCATGTGAACAACGTTAGTGGTTCGGGGAGTCGACGGGTCTTCCAACAAAGTGGATTTGAACTCAAACACCGACTGAGTTTACTGCCAAATCCGGAATCAAGTCAACAAATCAACAAAACAACCGAACAACGGACAAAACAACCGGAAACAACGGAAAACGACAAAACCAGCGCACCTGGGGGAACTCGGCCCGAACCGAACCACCCTAAGGTGGCTCGGCCCAAGCCGAGCCACCCTAGGGGCCCGACTCCCCCCCCTCTCTCTCTTGTGCACAAAGGCACAGTTCAGAGAGGCTATAAATAGGGGGGGTGGTTGTTCATTTGAGGGACTTCTTCTGAAACTTTTGAGAGAGCCGAAACTCTGCCGGATTGTCACCTCAACTCGGAGATCTGAAGGCTTGAAGACTTGGAGACCCGGATTTGATTCTTAGCGAGCACCCGCACCGAAAAAGGCAGGAGTTCGAGAGAGTCTAATCCTCAGATCTACGTCGTTACACTCCGGATCTAAGCTTGGTTCTTAGATCCCGAGATTCGAGCGGTCGTTTCCTTGGTGAAACGATCCCTCCCGGCTATTATCTCCTTGGTGGGATAATACCCGTAATACGTCGTAGATCTGCTTGGATCCAGATCACGCGGTGGTCCACGGTAAGCAACCCCGGCGCAGGCAAACAACCCACAGAAGCAAGAGACCGGATAACAGGATCTTGTGATTTGTTCGGTAAAAGAGAGAAGTTGTAATTTTGATTTCTTTGTTTTATTTTGATTTTCATTGTAAGCCGGATCTTATAAAAAGACCGGATCTCTTTGTAACGCATAAAGTTGTTAACTGAGTGCAATGACATCGATAATGAAGAAAGCACCAACTTTTCCCGCGAACAGTACTCCCTGATATTTCCTTTGCCCTTATACTTCATTGAAATCAAGCGAGCTAAAAGCGTGCTTATCGTTTTTCGCAAAACGCTTCTCAATTTCGGCAAGGAAATCTTTAGCCTTAGTAATCCCTTCGGATTCTATGCCCCTGAAGGCTTCCGGAACGCCGCGCTTAATGATCATAAGACTCATGCGATTTGAACGCTCCCACTTCTCATGCTCCTTCTTTGCATCAGGAGTGCTATCCGCATTGAGAGGTTGGGGTTGTTCAGTTCTTAATGCATAGTCAAGATCCATGCAGCCAAGAACAATTAATATGTTCTCTTTCCAAACCTTGAAGTTTGTCCCATTTAGCATGGGAATTGAGTTGATGTTAGCAGAAATAGTTGCAGCAGATGCATTAGCTGAAATAAAATAAAAATGCTCACATCAATAACCATAATCAATAAAATTCAAATAATGACAATCCCCATCCAAGATACCGGCACAACATTAATATCAAGTCTTTGGACAGTAATATTAACTTGTAAGTGATACCTTGTTGCAATGATCAAACATTGACAATAACTCATGTCAAATAATGAAACTATCTTTGGATCGATTCATTATTCACATGTAAACCTTATAATTGTCACACGCTTATCATCGCAGATGTGTATACAGTCTAAATAAATATTAACCTTCCTTTGGGCCGATTAAATATTTACACGAAAGCATACACACAAACATCTCACATTCCTCATGAACAATCTACACAAGAGAGGTTACTTTGGCAACTTCTTGTTTCAATTAATCAATTGGAGTGAGAGACAACCTTAATACCTTAGTGTCATAATATTTGAATTAAATAATTGATTAAAAACCGAATTAGATTTAAATTAAAAAATTTAAATCAACTGAATTTCCAAAAACTTAATTGGGGTCTCACAGCTTAATTAGGGCCCATAACTTAATTGAATAAATTAAGTATACCAAAGTGGACCCATGAAAAGCCGAGGCTTAACCATAATGAACACGAAGTTCCCTTAACTTCGAACGCGAGGTTCGACTGTATTGAGTACGAGACTCACTTAAGCACGAACGCGAGGTTCGTCTGAAAATGAACGAACGCGAGGTTCGTTTGATAAAAGAACGCGAGGTTCAACTTGGGAACGAACATGAGGTTCGTTAAAAAAAAAATGAACGCGAGGTTCAACTGAAGTACGAACTCGAGGTTCGTCTGAAGTACGAACGCGAGGTTCGTCTGAAGTTCGAACGCGAGGCTCGACTGAAGCACGAACGCGAGGTTCGTCTGAAGTACGAACGCGAGGCTCGCCTGAAGTACGAACGCGAGGTTCGTCTGAAGTACGAACGCGAGGCTCGACTGAAGTACGAACGCGAGGTTCGTCTGAAGAACGAACGCGAGGTTCGTTAAAAAATTGAGCTTGACGCTCACCTGAGTTGAACGCGAGGTTCACCTTAGAACGAACGCGAGGTTCGTTAAAATTGAGCTTGACGCTCACCTGAGTTGAACGCGAGGTTCACCTTAGAACGAACGCGAGGTTCGTTAAAATTGAGCTTGACGCTCACCTGAGTTGAACGCGAGGTTCACCTTAGAACGAACGCGAGGTTCGTTGAGCGCGAAGCTCGGTTAAAATTGAACGAACGCGAGGTTCGTTTGAGGTAACCACCTCCTTAATTTTCGTCATGAACCCTTAGGGTTTCAAATTGAAACCGCCGCCGACAAACCCAAAAAACCTTTGATTTTTATTTTCAAAACAGATCCAGAATTGGAAAAAATTGAAGGAAAAATCAAAGAAAAATTCAAAAAATTCCTAAAAGTTACTGTTCACCGGTGATTTTTCAGTTACTGTTCATCCGAAAAAATTTCGTTACTGTTCATCCGAACCCAAAAATTTTTACTGTTCATCCGAACCCAAAAAATTTTACTGTTTATCCGAACCCAAAAAAAAAAATCGAATCTTTAATCAGAGATTTAAGATCAAAAACCCAATAAAACTTAAATCCCTAAGAATTAATCAAGGTGGCTCTGATACCACTTGTTAGATCTACATCATAAAACTTGAGATCTAAAACCATATAGCCATGATTAATTCAAAGAGATTAACAAAGATCTAAAAGAGCGGAAGCTTATACCTGAATCCATTGCTTGATCTTGATTTTGGGTTTTGGATCTTCTAACCTTAGGGTTTTCTCCTTAGCCGAATTTCTCTCTTAGATGGGGGTGAAGAGAATTAGAGAATGTAACACTAGGTTAGGGACCATAACCCCTTATTTATAGATGTTGTACTTTTGTAATTTAGCCCCTCAATAAATCACAATTACAACCTGGTATCTGCACATATGACCCCATGATTATATTTAAATACCAAATTAACCCAACTTAATTGATCACTTTAGTGGGTTATCCTGAAAGATAGCAATACACATTGATTAATCATATGTGCCCACAAATAGATTTATTAGATTAAATCCAACAGATCATAGTTGATTTAATTATTTACATGAGTAGAAGTTTGGTGTACTGTAGGAAAACTATAAATGAGCTAAGTAACAACAATAAGAACGAACCTTTTGCCCATATCCGCTGTTGTAGCAGTCGACGACAGCTCGCGAATCGGCGACGGTAGTTTGAAAACAAGACTCCCAATCGGTGTATTTGTGCACATAAACCAATTGCTCTACGCAAAAAATGAATTTGAAATGTTCTTGCTGCATGAATTGGCAACGAATCAATATGATACGTAAGAAAGCGGAAACAAAATTATTTATGCCTCTCTAGGCCTGGCCTTTTCTCCAAAAAAATTTTAAAAAAAATGGTTATCAGAGAGGTAGAGCACTATTGATGTTCTTATGAATGAAGGTATTTTGATTAATTATCCATAAGCAAATTGTTAGGCCTCAAAGCTCATTAATCTAGCCCCTCTTTTTAATGGGCCTCGAAAAGCCGACACTTTTAAAAACAATTGATGTTTTTAACATGATGCTTTTAAAAGTAGCATGATGATACTTTTAAAAGCAACTTTTGCTTTTTGTAGTTTCAATACAATATATATCATTTATCTTTTGATATATTAGCTTGCCTATTCTAAAACTATCTTGTCTATTTTGATAACTAAATTTGTCTCTATTTATGTGATTTTCACTTACAATCATTTTGACTACTTCTGAAGGTAGACTATGATATATGATTATCATACAACTATTTTCAACCACTTATATAAGTTGCTTAGCTTCTATAAGCAACTTATCGAAAGTTCCGGTAATACCAAACTGCCCCTAAATCTCGTCCATTAATGTATTCATTTAAACTAAACACACACTTTACTTCTACAATCACCTTTTGAAAAAAAGGGTAGAAGAAGAGAAATTGCATTACCACATTAGGCCAAGTAGCAATGGCACAAGCTTCCACGGTATTTAGTAAGCACTCGTATGCACCATGCTGCAAATTAAAGAAAGGAAGGACATGCATGCACCTTTAGTATATTAGAAGCCCATAATAAATTATAAAGAAATGCTAGGGGCACACCCCAAACCACACCACCAACCACACTCTCCTCTCTCATTTGCTACAGTACACGGGGCCCCACATGGGATTTTAAAAATTTAAAATCCCATGTGGGGCTCCGTGTACTGTAGCAAATGAGAGAGGATACTGATTAAATTAAATTAGCCCCCTCAAATAATTCCGCTAGTCTTGGTGTTATAAAAAAATTTCAAGGGTAAAGTACGTGTATGAGACGATTAATGCCTTGAAGATATTATTTATTGACAAAATTGCCCAAGCTCAAGTAATAAACTGAATCATATTGTTATGGAAGAAAATTGAAGTTTTATTTTTCGAAGTAAGCATGAATAATACAATCAAAATAAATCTGAGAACCACAAAGCATTAAATGTCAAATATTATATTGGAACTAGAGGGTCCTAATACTTGACAATAGTTTTCCGAAACTTAACCAATAAACGATTATTTTTGGTTTGATTATGTCTTAATCAAAGGTTAAACACGCAAGACAACCTCAAAGCATTCAAGAGCCTCATCCTCACAAAACAAATGCAAACAAAAAAAAAAACACCCTCTTAATCGTCACCACATCAATTCTACAAAAACTAAAAGAATGAAGAAGCGGATCCAACCTGGCAGGCTATGGACCCGTTCGACCCGACCCGAGCGTTCCCGTACGGCACGAGCTCAATATCCACAATCGAACTCAATCCTTTTTCGAAAATCTTTGGCAAATAATTCACCATAAAGTTTGAGCAGTAGGGGCATAGGGTTTCATAGTATAGTGAGAGAGTGACTTTAGAAGCGTGGGCTGAGGATGATGGAGGCAAGCAAAGAGAGGAGATAGCAAGGAGAAGTAGCGGAGTAATATGAGGGGAGGCCATTGGAATCAATGAGAAATTCTTTTGGAGGTCAACTGTGAGTGTGGAGGATATATGGTATTTGTCGAATATTGAGGGTGTAGATATAGGTAGATTAGATATATCATTTGCGTACGCTCACTCGCGGAGCAGTTTAAGAGTTTTGTGAGTGATCTGTATCTTTTTCCTGACTGATTGGGTTTAGTTTTATCCAAACCCAATTAGTAGAAATTTAACCATGCAGTCCTTTGTCAGTTAAGGATAATCACTTTGATAGTAGAAATCTAACCATGATATTGGGCGAAATGATGGTTACGATGCCTCTTTGTCAGTACGGGGCTAGCTAGACCAGCCACTTCACCCTCTCAACATGTATAATCACAACAAAATCGTTATCCCTCTGTATATTTGTGTCACACAATCTTTGCTGGCTATGTGCATATTACACTGGTCGATACATCTCGACCTTCCAAATTTATTATCTCATCAGATAGACTAACAATCTCTCTAGTCAAGCTTACTAATAAAATCACATTACAAAAGATCTACTTGTAAAAGTCCAAGCGAACATGATCAAGAATTTGCCCCCCATGCATCCAAGTCGAAAGAGTTGAGTTCGGACCCATCATCAAACTAGAGAGTCCTAATAAAAGAATTCTCCATAATTCAAATTATTAATTAGTTATGGAGCAAGATATCATGCACTTCATGCTCTTAGTAGACTGGTTGAGTGTTTTAGCAAGTCGAGATTAATTACGATAGCTTAGGAAAAAAAAGCAGCCCATATGATCTATACTTTTAACAAATTTGAACTCGAATAGACAAAAATCTCAACAAACTAAAAGAGGTTACGATAGCTTATTTTTATAATTTTTTTATTTAAGAGGGGAGGTGGAGGAGTTGGGAGATTACGATGCTAACTATTTTAAAACTATGTTTTTTAGTAAGGGAGGAGAAGGATTAGGAGGATTACAAAGATGCAAAATTTCTTTGTTTTTTTTAATCGTCCAAAAGCGGACAGATTGGGAGGGGAAGTACTGGATTATAAGTGAATCGCTCTCTTCCCTTCCTATTTTCTATTCTAAACGAACACAATATAGATCTATCACTCTCCCTCCCTCTCACTTCCCTAGTTGTTTATCTAAACACAATTACTTACATCACACTTTCATCCTCTCTTTTTCCTCCCCTTAGATTTAGTTCAATCATCCTCCTCCACTTTCCTCTTCTATATCCAAACCGAACCTAAGACCCTATAGTAATTAATTTAAAATTTTACTAATAGATCAGGGAAAAATAGAAAAATCCAACCAAGCCATATAACGCTAAAACTGTAAACGGGTAGATGGGTCTCGGATCCGTATTTTAGGCGAAAACAATTTTGTGTTGGAGCATAAAGAGATTTAACCCGAACCCGAATTATTAGCCCACCTTGGAATTGGAGTGAGAATGAGAATAGGTTTGTTGTTTAAGTTGTGACGCCGAGGAGTTTAACATACGCCTTTGTTCTTTGCTTCTCTCTCCGGTGTTCTTCTCCTTTGACTTTTGCTTTTCTTTTTGTTTTGTTTTGTTTTGTTTTTTCCCCAATTTTCTTGCAGGGCAGTACGACGTTTTTGGCAAATTCTGCTAGCATCATTGATTTTTTGCTGGGCCCACGTACTCTCAAACTTTTGCTTATTATTATTGAAAAATTCTTATTATTTTGAAACCAATTGCTTATGGGGATTATTTTTAAATGGCTAAATGACACTTAGATACCATAAAATTTTCTCAATGTGGCACTTAAATATCACAGCTTCAAAAAATAGTGGAAAAATACTATGAATTCTCCGTCATTAAAAAATAGCTCACGGAATTATTTTTTGGGTGATGTGACCAAAATATCCCTCACCTTAATTTATTACCCTTAATGGTTAAAAAATGATAAAAAAATTCTAAACCTCTCTCATGTTTACATTACTTGACAAAGTTACCATGTTCTAGATTTAGATTTTGGATCTCGATCAAGGATCAACAAGAAATCTCCCTCTGGGATCTTGGAAAAGATAGTTCACTTCCAAGATTGTGGAGATTTGTAGTGGATTTTACCTTGGATCAGGGTAATTTGAGGTAATATTACTTATAAACTTGACTTGTAGTTAGCTTTTGTAGAAATTTGGGTTGTGCTTTGGGATTGTGGTACAAAGATGTTACCTTTTGGATCGAGGTACTTTAGAAACTTGAAACTCTAGAGCATGATTTCATAATTCCTGTAAGAATTTAGAGAAAGGGAAAATGAATTCAGGAATTAGCTAGGGTTGAAGTCTAATGAGAAAAGTTCGTAAAAAGAGGAGGAGTTGGCAGAAATAGTAAATAAATCAATGAATGAGATTAATAGATATTTGGATATGTCATGTGAGAGTCACATGGAAATATTCTTTGGAGTATTCCTTGTGTGACTAACAGATGATAGTAGCGTGCTATTATTCTGAAACTTCTGGTGTTTTTGTGCCACTTTTTACAACTTATGGTATTTAAGTGCCACGTTGAGGAAACTTTATGGTATTTAAGTGTCATTTAGCCTTTTAAATCCATATCAATTCTAAACCCCCATTTAATCTAGAATATCAAAACTCATTTATCAGTTACTTTCAGTTTTTTCGACTTTGGAGCACAAGATTATAATCCTTGTTTATAATTTTGCTCGGTTTTTGAGCTTGGAATAAAATCTCATTTATCAGTCTAGGAAAATAAAAATAAAAATAAAAATAAAAATTATAATCCTCAAATTCTTATTATAACTTTGAAATTTTAGTCTAGAGAAGAGACTAGTCGTTTCTTCGGATTTCTTGTATTTGTGCTTCATAGTGGTGTTGGAATCAATGGTAATTGTGGATTTGGATCCTCTCCACTACAAAAAAGTAGTGGAGAGACCACTACTTTTAATCTCAAGCATTGATTATTTAGTAGGCGGTTATGATACAATCTAAATCTAACACTTACCATACCCCCATGTATTGCACTCATTCCTAATTTGTACTAAAAGAAAAAATCATAACCATCAACTAGATAATCAATGGCTGTGATTATGTAGTGGTCCCTCCACTATTTTTTTTGTAGTGGAGAGGATCCGAATCCGGTAATTGTATATGCAGGGAACATATATGTTTCTATAGAGAGCATTACATAAATATATGCAAGTAAAATTGCATCGAATCTTTTGGATCAAGTTTAGATTGTGTCTAACATGATTGATACTCTTTTTTTGTGTTTATCAATATAAAATTACAGATTTGTCCCCCAACTAGTCTACTTGGGGGCTTCCCCCAATTTTATAAGAACAATAGCCAAAGACTAAATCAAATATCAATCATACCTTTGTAGGCGTCTAAAATTGCCTATGAGAGCCTGCACGAAACTCGAAGCAATGAATAGGCGAGTCAAGAAAATCCGCCAATCAGTCAGCGCACGTCAAATCATCTCGTGCGCGTCGGTCAGCTCGTGCGCGTCGGTCAACACGCGCACACCGATCAGTCCGCGCGTATCGATCAACAAGCAACGCGCGTTCGACGGTCGGTCTCGCGGCGAAGCATACAAGTCAACAAATCGACCAAACACGCAAAAAGAACAAGTCTCGGAAGAAAGAGAACATAAAAGGAAAAAGTTGACAAAACTGCGCGAACGCAGGACGAAACAAACCGACCCGCGCAAGTGCGGGTCGGATCAGTCCGACCCGTGCAAGCGCAGGTCGGATTGGTCCGACCCGCAACCGTGTGGGTCGGACCAGTCCGACCTGCAGTTGTGCGGGACGGACCAATCCGCAGGTCGGATTGGTCCGACCCGTAATTGTGCGGGTCGGACCAGTCCGACCCGCAACTTTGCGGGACGGATTGGTCCGACCCGCGCAAGCGCGGGTCGGATTGGTCCGACCCGCGCAAGCGCAGGTCGGACTGTTCCGACCCGCGCAAGCGCAGTACGGAACCCGAAACGCGTTTTGACGGTTTTGATGCTGTTTTCGCAGGATTTATCTGTTTCAGGGGTTCCCAACTGACTTGATATTATCCCCAAACGTGGTTAGGCTGTTGTTAACTGAAGATAGAGCCAAATCACTTGTTCTCATCCAAATAACCGCTTCCGAAGCCCTATAAATACAAGCCTAGGGCCTCCTTTCAGCGGGGGCGATTGATTATCAAGACGAGGAGGTGCTGCCGGATTGTGGAGTCAAAGGAGCACGAATTTCAGCGAGGGTTGACAGATCTTGGCGAGTTCTTCGGCATAAAGAAGGAGAGTTCGAGAGATCCGACGCCCGTTCCCGTCCGTCCCTTGAGATTAGGCTTGGTCTTAATCTCGAGAAGAGCCCTGATTTCGCTTGGTCGATCTCAGCGCTTCAAATCAAATACTTCCTCCGCCGTCGACGGAGAAATGGTCACCTGCAGAATGGGGGCCTCCCGTTGAAGCGGAGATTCTCGCGCCGATGAATGACCCCCAGCCAACGCTTCCATAGGAGCAGGAGATCCCCCTATTCGGCCAGGCGCGTCCTCAAGCGCCAAATCCTCTGCCTCACTGGACAATGCCTCGTGAACTGAGATATTGTCATCCTCCTCAGATTCGCCCGCCTCAGATGAGCGATTCACCCAAGAGTGAGGATCCTCCTCACCTGCGACTTCACGGTTAGGGTCAATTACAAATGCACAAAAAAAAGAGGTTAACAGAGACCCCTCGAAAGGGACCCTACTAACAGTCGAGTACGGGAAGAAAAGTGATGCTAAAACACACACTTACCCGAGCCGGTGGGCCCCTCCTCATCTCCAGCCTCCCCTTCCTCGTCGGAAGGAATGGAAATCACCTTCTCAATCGCACCTGCATAGGTCCAATACCAATGGCAAAAGGTATGAGATCATCGTTGCGATCAAAGACGCTATTGCAAAAGAAAAATTACCTCCTGATGCGGACACAGAAGCCGCTGGAGCTCCCGTCGGTAACCTCTCGCCAGATCGCGGAGGAGCGTCTCTCATAGTCGCCGGAGCCGCCCCCGATGCAGCAGAAGAGACGGGCAATACGACTCCAGACGTCGCCGCTCCGGGGATACCCAC